ATACAAATAGATAGATAGAATTTTCAATATAAGCAGGAAATCCATGTTTAATTGAAAATATGGATGAGAGAATTGATGCTGTATTAATGCCAGTGATAGCAAGACAATTTATAATAAAGAGTTCAGGATAAAAGAAGATCAAATTTGCAGGTTAAGAATTAGATGTACATCCTAAATTCTAATTGTTCTTACACACATAATTGAGTAATCCTCACTATCCTCCTGAAATATAAGCAGAAGCAACTTTGATAAATTTCACAGTTACTGAAGATGGTTTAAGTGATTAATTGTTAGCATTGGTGGTTGGAAGAGAGAGACCAGATTTAGCATAAAAGAAAGTTGAATTGATATAACAATAAAATTCATTTAAGATTAAATTAAAGGAATTAGAAGATGAATTATTATACAAGTTGGCTAATGCTGAAGGTGATATTTTGGAAGATATTGCATTAATAGAAAATTTAGAATATTCAAAGAAGATTTCAACAGAAATAGCTGAGAAAGTAGAGATTGCAAAAGCTACAGAAGCTAAAATAAATGAAACATCAGAATAATATAGAAATGCTGCTGCAAGAGGTGCATTAATTTATTTCTTATTAACAGATTTATCTAAGATTCACTCTTTCTATAAATATTCATTAGAATCTTATTTAGTAGTTGTACATAGAGCAATAGATTTGATTTCTGAACATAAGCATGTTTAAACAGGAGTAATGTTAGATGAGAAAGCAGCAGCTTAAATTGATGTAGGAAAGAAAAAGGAAGGAGGAGAAGGAGAAGAAGAAAAAGCTGGTGAAGGTGAAGAAGGATAAGAATAATAAGAATAAGAAGAATAATAATAAGAAGAATAATAATAATAATAAGGAGAATAATAAGAAGGTGAATAATAAGAAGGAGAATAAGGAGGAGAAGGTTAATAAGGTGAAGGTGAAGAAGGAGAACCTAAAGAAGGTGAAGAAGGAGAATAGAAAAAAGAAGAATAAGCAGAAGAACCCAAGAGACCAGCAGATGATGATCAATTAACTCCATAATCGTTGAAGAAGAGAGTTAATTAATTAATTGAAAGTATTACTTATACTTCATTCTAATATGCTAGAAGAGGATTATTCGAAAGACATAAGTTGATAGTATCAACCATGCTTACATTAAGAATTAATCTTAAAGCTGGTAAATTACCAAAAGAATAAGTTGATCATTTGATTATAGGTAAAATTGAATTGAACCCTCCTCCTATGCCTGAATCATTAAAATCATTCTTAAATGATACCATTTGGGCATGTTGTAAGGCTTTAGAATCAATCCCTGACTTTAATGGTCTTGGACAAAGTCTTGAAGTAGATAATCTTTAATGGAAGAAATGGTATAATGAAGAAAAAGCTGAAATAAGTGATCTACCTAAAGCATTCAGTCATCTTAAGAAATTCCATAGATTATTATTATTAAGAACTATGAGACCTGATAGATTAACATCAGCTATGGCTAATTATGTTGCTGAAGAAATGGGAGACAAATATGTTGAATAACCTCCATTCTCTATATTTGAAACATTCAACGAAATGGCTCCAACAACACCAATATTCTTTGTCTTATTCCCTGGAGTGGATCCTACTCCTGAAGTTGAAAGAGTTGCTGCCTAATATGATATAACATCATTCAATGGTAAATTCATTAATATTTCAATGGGTTAAGGACAAGAAGAAATTGCTAGAAAAGCTTTACTTGATTGTGCTGTTCAAGGACATTGGATTATGTTATAAAATGTACATCTTATGTAAAATTGGTTAACAGGACTTAATGGTTTGGAAGGATATCTTGAAACTGTCTATGCTAAACATCATCCTAACTTTAGAGTCTTCATTTCATCTGAACCACCCCCCTTACCTGAAATGAAAATTATACCAGAATCTATTTTATAAGCATCTGTAAAGGTTGCTAATGAAGCACCTTAAGATTTAAAGGCAAATCTTAGAAGAGCTTATGCTCACTTTGACTAAGAATTCTTAAATAAATGTTAGAAAAAACCACAAGAATTTAAAGCCTGTTTGTTTGCTTTATGTCATTTCCATTCCTTAGTCTTAGGTAGAAAGAAATTTGGTGCTTAAGGATGGTCTAGAGTTTATAACTTTAATGATGGTGATCTTACAATTTGTGCTAATGTCTTGTATAATTATTTATCTAAATATGATGTTGTTCCTTGGGATGATTTGAAATATATTTTTGGTGAAATTATGTATGGTGGACATATTACAGATGATTGGGACAGAAGAACTAATGCTACTTATTTAAGAGTGTTAATTAAACCTGAATTATTATAACCAGGTTTCAATTTAGGTCCAGGATTTAAATCACCAGATCCTTCAAAATTCGAATATGAATAATACAAAGAATATATTGAAAAGAAATTACCAATAGAATCTCCATAAATGTTTGGTATGCATCCAAATGCTGAAATTGGTTATTTAACATAATAATGTGAAACTCTATTCAGTACAATATTAGATGTCTAAGGAGGAGCAAGCAGTGGTGGTGGAGGTAAAAAAGATGATGGAGTTATGACTTAATTAACATTATTAAAATCAACAACTCCTGCTGATACCAATTTAATGGATGTAACAGCTAAAGCATCAGAAAAGACACCTGATTAGATAGTATGTTTATAAGAATGTGAAAGAATGAATATTCTATTAGGTGAAATTAGAAGATCACTTGAAGATCTTAGACTAGGTTTAACTGGTGCATTGAATATTACTGATTAAATGGAAGCCTTATCACTATCATTATAATTCAATAAAGTACCTGCAAGTTGGGAGAAATTTGCATATTTCTCAAGAAAAGGTTTGGCTGCTTGGTTCAATGATTTAATTGAAAGAACCAATTAATTAGCTGCATGGACATAAGAAATGGTTACTCCACCTTCATTATGCATTAGTTATTTATTTAATCCAATGTCATTCTTGACTGCCATCATGTAAAAGACTGCCAGAGAATAAGGTTTACCTTTAGATGATGTATTATATTCTTATTTATATTTTTTAGATGGTTTTATAAACCAATGTAACAGCTGTCAAAGGACATGAAGAAGTTGTTGCTTCAGCTGAAAATGGTGCCTTTATCCATGGTCTATACTTAGAAGGAGCTGCTTGGGAATTAGGAGGATAAGGATAAGAAGGATATCTTATTGAATAGAAATAAAAAGAATTACATCCAAAATTACCAGTTGTTAATGTGATTGCTGTTACTGCAGATAAAAAGAAGAAAATTGGATAATATTCTTGTCCTGTTTATGTTACATCTATGAGAGGACCTACATTTGTATTTACAGCCAATCTAAATATGGAAAATGAAGATTCAGACGTATCCAAATGGATTCTCAGCGGAACTTGTTTATTGATGAGTGACGATTGAGCTACATTTGAAATTTATTATATATTATATATATTCAAATTTATATAATTTCTCCTTTCTATTTTGTATTATCATCATTTTTAATTCATTTACGACCAACTAATGAAAAACTATCAAGAGTTAATATCTCAAATTTAAACGCTCTCTTTTATCTAGAAAACAATTAATGGTCTTTATCTAATCTCCAAACTTTAAAAAATTTCTTATGAAGGGAAAGATCTTTCTATTCTTCATATCGTTCTTGTAAATTTGGTTTATATAAATTTATTAATAGATTATAATGTTCTTAATAGTGATATGTCTTTTTTCAATATCTTAAATAAATTAAAAAAAAATTTAATATTTAAATTAACTTCTCTCTTAATTTCTTTGGTCAAATCTTTTAATTTTTTGCAATTTTCACCATTAGTAATTCTATTTCATCTTTTTAATCCATATTTATACATATTCATAAAGCAAAAGATTGTAGATTCTAAATTAATCTATTTATGAGCACATTTAATTGTTTGATTTTATTTATAATATATTAATAATTATCAATATTATGTTTTTGAGTTTAACTCATTTATTTATATTTAAATAAGGTTTTATGCATATTAAACTAAAAAATTATACTAAAAATGGTTTATTATCTAAAAAATAAACTTTAAGTAACTCTTTAATATGTGTGAATATTTTTAATATTTAATATATAATGTATTTTTTTTATATATATTATAAAGAAATTCAACCAAGAATTGTAACTTAGTTGTTAAATATATATTTTAGAATTTTATCATAAGATGAAATTAAATCACTGATTTCATTTTCTCTGTATTTAGATCGCTTAAAAGATAATATTAAGTTTTTTGGACTTGATTTTAAAATTAGTTATTTTTATTCAGAAGGATTAATTAGAAAAACGGTTCGTCTAAAATTGTAAATAAAACTATTTTAAAGAGACTATCCTGTATATGGAATCAATTATTATGATTTATGCGATATTAAATGTGAATATAAAACGTTTTTATTTTTTAATATTAAAGGATTATTTAATAAATTTAAGCAAAGAATTTAAAGATGAAAAAAAGTCTAAAAATAACTTAAACAGTTTAATAAAATATCATCTAGAAATTTTAGGTCAAAAATATATTCCCATAAAATTTTAATTTTGTTTATCAAGTCTTCCTTGAGAATATAGAAAAAATAGGATTATAAAATTTTAATCATAAAATGCGGGAAGTTAAACTTATCAAAACAGATTTTAGCAAATAATTGATAAAATAGAACAGGGTTTTTCGGTTGTAATATCATTATTTGGGTGAGATTTAAACTAATATAAGAATTCATGTTTATTAATTGATTATAAAAAAATGCTGCAATTGTGGATGCTATCATCTTAAAGTTTTATTTGAAATTAAAAATAAATATGGAAGTAATAGATAAGAATGGAAAAATATATTTAAAAATGGGTGGGCGGGTATATCTAAAAGGTTTAAAATTTAAAATCTGTTGTACGAAATTTAATATGAGATATGAAAAGCTCACAAACTTGAGTATATAACTTAAATTATATATTATAATATATATTTAATATTATAGTTTAAAAATAGTTTATGTTGAAAATAATTTTTCTATTAGGATTAGCATTATCATTCTGCTATTGCGAATGTAATATCTATTCATATGATCCAATTGGTTGTGTTTAATTAACAACAGAAGATAATTGTAATTATATTATTTCCGATGAAAGGCATATACAATGAATTTTTAAATTAATGTTAAGAGACTAGGAATTAAAATTTAGGTTGCTCAAATTTTCTTAATAGCAATGCTTGTATTAATTAATTAACGTTTGGTGGGGATGTTGAGACTAAATGTAGAATATTTCTTTAAATATAAGGCATATTTCAAAATAGATGCAGAGAAGCCAATAAATTTCATCTGGAAAAACTAGGTTGCCACAAATTATATTCAAAATATGCATGCTTAAATGTGTCAAACAAAGATTGCTTTTGGAATGGAAAATGTGAAGATTCATCAAAAATTATTCTTTCACCTGATTCTGAAGAATTAATATATCCCTTCTCTGTCACTCCATAGTTATGTGCTAAATATTAAAAACATCCATGTAAAGATATTTATAAATTAAGGTATGAATAATGGAATTAAACGAGATTATTTATGTGTCACAATATATGAAATTTAATTTAAAGAATTAAAATGTTCTACTTTGGGGTTGAATGAAATAGGTTGCAGATCAATTTTGACAGAATAAGAAATGTGTAATGTTTTTCCTTTATATTTAGGTTTATTTGATAATTATTAATGCAAATATATAAAACCTTATGAAATAATAAGTTGCTCTTTAACATTAAACAAATTAGCTTGTTTATCTATTTCAAAACCTAATCTAATGTGTGAATGGTAAAAATAAGAATGCAGAACGTATGTTATTAATGAAAATAAATAATGCCAAGATATTTTTAATGTAAATATCTATGTTTGTGCTAATTAAGACAGTCTTTGTATGTTTGATGTTAATAATTTCAGATGTACAGAAGTAACTTTGAAGTAGTTAGAAGATTTAGATTGTAATACTCCTGGAATAACAAGACTTACATGCTTGTCTATTAAAAATAAATAATGCACTTTTTATAAAGGATTTTGTTAAACTTTATAAGATAAAGAGTTAAGTGAATATCATTGTTCAATGTAATTAAATTAAGCAGCTTGTATTAATATTACAACTATAGGCTAATTTTGTTTATGGGATGGTAAAGGATGTTAAAATGTTGAAATAAATCAAGATTTAGATTGTCATATGTTTGATAAATTTTAAGTAAATGGTAATGTTTGCTAAGCAATAATAAAACCGAATTAAATGTGTAAATATAATGAAATAACTAAAATTTGTATTTAAAGTTCATCAAATGATTACTGTATAACACCATATTTAAATTTATTTGGATGTGTTGGTATCTTTAGAGAAGGTTAAACTTGTAAATGGATAGATTCAAGTTGTTAAGAGATTTTGATAATACCATTTGAAACAACTTGCAGCAGCTTAAAATATGCAAATTATTAAGCATGTTCTTAAGTCTTTGAAAGTATTTAGTTAGGTTGTTATTTTGATGAAATTGCATCGTAATGTGTAACTTTATAAATTAACAACAATAATAATTTAGAAGATAAAAAAAGAGTTGATGAATTCTTAAAATCAGTGACTTGTGCTAATAAATCTTTAGGATTAAATAAAACCATTTGCGGAGCTATAACTACAGAAAATAGTTTTTGCAGATGGTAATATTAAAGGTGCAATTTAGTAGATAAAGATGATATTGCAAAGCTTCCTTGTATTGATTTAAACTTTGCAAATTAAAACATTTGTGCTTTAGTAAAATACAATAATGAATTTTGCAGATACTTTGAAGAAGAAAAAGGATGTATCAATTAATTAGAAGGTGATATGTTTTGCGATGATCCTGGACTTAATGCAGTTAATTGTAAATAAGCTTAAGAAAACTGTTACTTTGAAAATAATAAATGTAAAAGTCTAGGAGATATTAAATTTTATATAAGTCTTGCTGACTTAATCGTTTTACAGAAATTACAGTGTTTAGCTAACTCTCCTACAAAACTTGTTTGTTTAGAAATCTTAACTAAAGGTTAATTATGTTAATGGTCAAATAAAAATCAATAATGTTATGAAGTTGTTGTGATTCCAAATAAGAGATGTGCTGATTACTCTTCTTTTTAAGTTAATGCTAATGTTTGTGCTTCAATCATAATGGATAAACCAAATAATATCATAGAAGGTAAGGAATAATCTTTTGAAGAGTAAAATCCTGGTTATTGTGAATATGATAGATTATTTAAAATTTGTCAGGTAAAAAAATCTGTATGTAATGATAAATGTTGTACATCAAATGAAGAATTAGGAATAAATGCTCATTCATGTAGTAGATTTTCCAGTTAAGAACCAGGAGTATATTGTTATTTTAAAGATCTAAGATGTTAAGAGCTTACAAATTTAGATGTAGATATATCTAATCCTGAAAGTGTTAAGATTTACTATAATATAAATCAATTCACTTGTTCTCAAATGAATAAGAACTCTTGTCATATGATAGAATGGTCAACTACTTAAACTTGTTATTATAATGGATTTGCTTGTGTAAATTTGAACATGAAAGATTAAACAAACTTTATAGAATTTACTAAACCATCATCAATTTTAAATAAAAATGCTTGTTTGGCTATTGAAGCAAACAATAGTATTAATTATGCACTTAAATATTTTGAGTATGATTCAGAACGTAAAAATTGTAAGCTTTTAATATAACCATATCCAAAATACACAAGTTGTGAAAGTGTAAAAGGAAATTCTAATATTTGTTTAGGTCTTACATAGGATTTATATTGTAAATGGGATAGATTTAATTTAAAATGTGTTACAATAACTAAAGATTAATAGTAAGAAATTATAAATTGCAATTCGTATCAAAACAAACGATCTTGTATAGAAAATCCATATTCAGCTTGTTAATTTTCTCTTGCTTTAGATAAATGTATTGATGCACCTTTGGATCAAGAATGCTCCTATTACAATACAACAGGTTAAATTAGTCAGAAAACATGCTCTTTAATTACTAAACAAGGTTAAATATGTGAATTTCAGAATAACTATTGTGTAAGTTCTAATAAGATTGTTGATGGATGTAATCTAGATGGAATAAACAAAAGAGGTTGTTATAAAAATACTAAAGGGTTATGTAGATGGGATGATGTGTCTGGCTCATGTTATGAGAATAGAACAGCTTTAGAAGAATTAGAATGCACAAGTAATCTTAATTAAATTTTATGTATGAAAGTGACTAAATAACCTTGTATGTGGAATTATAGTCAATTATAATGTGTTTATTTTAATTAGATGACTAATGATCAATATTAAGAATAAAATTCTAATAATTAATATAATGAATGGGCTTGCACTCTAATCATTGGTGCAGGTTATACTTTTGATGCTTAACATCATAAATGTAAATTATTAGAAAATACATAAAATTATGGATGTTAAGATATTTAAATGAATAATTATGCTTGTTAATTTTTAACAAAAGGTAATAAGTGTTATTTTGATAATAATGAAATTCCTCCAAAAAAGAAATGTAAGATATTTGATATGGATTAAAGTGTTTGTACAACTAATATTGCTATAAATATTGATGTTTGTATGGATATACCAAAAACATGTAAATTTTCATTGGAAAATTTGTCTTGCTAAAAATTATCTATAAAGTAAAATGATACATGTTTAGATCTTTAAGATTTATAAAGTAGAGGAGAATATGTTAATAAACTTGGATGCTCTTCGATATCTGAATTCTTAAACTAAAATGATGGGGAATATTAATGTTATTAGGATAAAGAATTTTTGCAATAATGTAATTATTAAAAATTTTGTTTTTGGAATAATTATACTTGTAAAGTGAGCAAATAATTAACTTATTATTTTGATAGAGAACATTATACATCAACCTAAATATCAAATTGGGTTTTTTAAATAAATAATTGTACTGATAGCATTTAATGCAATTAATTTGTAACAAAGAAAGAATTCCTGGAAGATAATGTACTTTTTCCAGGTTTACGTAATGATTCAGTATGTGGTTTAGGAAGGTGTGACTATACAAATGAACCATGTAGTTAACATATTGATTGTGAACCAATTAATATAGAAAACTTATTAATTAATGATGATGGATCAATTAAACCACCAATTATTTAGAATTAAACTTGCTAATAATATTGTTAAATGTCTAATGATGAATATTCTTGCAAAAATTCTGATGTTGCTCCTCAGGAAATTTTAGAACCTGAAATCTAATAAGAATAATAATGTTCAGGAAGATGTAATGTGACTAAAAGTCTTTGTAAAACATTTATAAATTGTCCACATTTTTAATATCAAATTAATCAGACTGTAATAGAAGATAATAAAACTATCATTAAAGAAGTTGATGTTGAGGGGACTTAATTTTGTAGTGAATATAGTTGTTCTCAATAGGAAGCTAAACTATGTAACTCATCTACTGAATGCTTACCATTTGTATAAAAATCTTGGAAAATTAAAGATGCTTTATGCCAAAAATAAAATGTATATTCTAAGTCTTCACTCTGTAAAATTTTTTATTTTCTTAAATTAAAATGTGAAAAAATATTATCTAAAGGGCTTTGCTTATAAATGACAAATTAAAACTGCTTCTTTGATTTGAAATAAGGGGGTTGCATATAATTAGAAGGTAATGAACATAAAGTTCCTAGTTGTGATTGCATATTAGATACACGAAAACCTACAATATAATGTGATTAATTTTAAAATATTTGTAAATTCAGTGGATAACCTTTAAACGAATATAGAAATACTTGTTAAATAGTATCTTCTAAATCAATAAAGTGTAAGAGTGGCAATCAATAAAATGTTGCAGATACTAATTGTCATTCTATAAATCATCAATATAAAACTTGTGTAGAATAGTAAATATACTAAACTTCATACTCATGTTTAAATGTTCCTAATCCATCAATATTTAATTGTGCTGCAGCTGTAGATTTTTGTAGATATTCAAATGAGAGGTGTATATCTGATTAATTAACATATCCATGCGAAAAATTCGATAAAAGTTTTAGTAAATCCTGGTGTGAATTTTGCAAATACAATTATGATTTACTGGGATTCTGTCAACGAGAGTAAAATCCTCCTCCACTTTTAGCAGATAAATCAAATCAATATTACTTATGTTATGAAGTAACATTATTAACAGCTGATAAAGAGAATAAAAAAATTGCTTGTGGAATGGTTAAATAAGCTTGTAGATATTCTATTTAATGTGAGGATGCAACTCATTTTACATGTGATAAACTATTAAATTTTATTGTCTCTGAAAAGGCTTGTGTTAGATGTTAGGGAATGGCTGTTTAATATAATACTGAGAAGTAATTTTGTAATATTACCGAAGATTAAATTTTTTCTTGCAATCTCTTAAATTAATAAGCATGTTTATAAAAAACATAAAAAATAATGTGTAAATGGGAAGATTATGAATGTAAAATGATAGAAAGAATAATAGGATCCGATAAAAGAGAATGTTCAATTTATAATAGAGATGCTTGTATATAATTCTAATATGATTGTTGGTTTGATTTGAATATTAAATAATGTATAAAGTTTGATCCAAAGTTGGGATCTTGTGATTTACTTTTAAATAAAGATCTTTGTATGTATTCATTAAAAGAATCTTGTTTATGGGATTAAAATAATGAAATTTGTAATAAAAACGATCAAGAAATTACAGGATGTTAAGGTTTAAATAAATTTGGATGTTTAAATTAATCAATTTTATTATGTGTTTGGTCAGATATATATGGATGTTAATTGGCTGATTTTAATAATAATTCTTAATCATGTGATTCTCCTATAGGAAATTCTTAAAAATCATACATTACTCATTTTAGTAAAAAAGTTTGTTCATCAATTAATATAAATTTAAATTGTTTTTAAGATAATTATTATCGATGCAGATAAACAATTATTACAGATATAATTAAATGTGATAGTAATGGATTAAATAAATTTGGTTGTATAAATAGATCATATGGAAAATGTTAGTATTTAGATGAACAAAAAGCATGTATAGAAATCTAAAATGATTAGATTGGATGTATAGATTCTTTGAATAAAGAAGCTTGTATCTCTTAAAAGTAAACTTGTAAATTTGAAAATAATACTTGTTCTCTTCATTAAGTGAATAAAATTACTGATATCATTAATTAGATTGAAAATTTTCCTTATTCCAATAGTGTATGTAGTTATTTAGATAAATAAATTTAATAAAGTTTTCTTTATAGTTAAGTATAAAATAGATGTATTGATGTGTCTAATAGAAATCCATTTATTGATAATTGTTCAATGGTAGGAATCAATCGGTATGCTTGCTAATAAAAGACTATTTTAGCATGTGAATATGATTCTGATGAAAACATTTGTTTAAAAACAGAGTAATCAATATTGAAAACAATAAATACTTGTTTTAGTGATAAATATTTGAATTGGGTCTCTTGCATTAGTTTAAGTTCCGAATGTAAATTTATTTAAAATAAATGCTTACCAATTGAATCAAAAGATAATTGTTAATATCTTTAAGATTAATAAATAATTGTGAAAAGTTCTATTTGTGCAACTAGAAAAGATAAAGGTTGTAAATTAAACATTACTTCAAACACTTGTGAGATTTTGAATAAAGGAGATAACTTTTAATGTACAACTTCTGGTTTGAATAAAATTGGCTGTTTATTTCAAACAAAAGGATATCTTTGCAAATTTTAATAAGATCAATGCGTCTTTGATTTTCAAGAATCAGTCTGTGAAGATTTAATTAATGAAGATAAGTGTTATTCAATCAAAACTAAAGGACAATATTGTAGATTTGACTAAAATAAAGGGTGCTATTAAATTGATAATTCTAAAAATGAACTACTTAAATGTTAGCACTCATTTAAAACCAATCCTATTACATGTTCAATTAGTATAGATGTACCCTGTTATTATGATAAATAAAAAAAAATCTGCATTGAATTCCTAGCAAGTAATTTGAATTAAGAAACCTTAACAAATAATCAAAATTGGGACAATAAAATTTCGTTTAACGCTTTAACATGCTAAAGATACAATATAAATAATTAATAGGTATTTTGGAAATTTTAAGATGATTAAAAGAAATTAGTTAACGAATGCTATGAAATCTCTGATACAGATTTAGCCATATTAAAATGCACTAATTTTTTAAATAAATTAGCTTGCATTAATCTATAAACTCCTTTTTAATATTGCAAATATGAAAATTTTGTTTGTAATTCATATAGTATTTAAACTATTAAATAATAACCTTATTGTTTAAATTATAAATTGGTCAATACTGGAGCATTTTGTGAATTGACAACTGATGTTCCTTGTGAATATAGTGTTACAGATAAGGAGTGTAAATAAATAATAGTAAATACGTAAATAAAAAATTACTAAATTTTTTGTGAATATAATCACACTTATAAACGAGGATACAATTATCAAGCTTGTTAATTAGATAAAAATAATTGTACTTTTTCTGGAGCTTGTTATAGGAATATAGATTAATCAGTAGCTTTTTGTAAAGATGTAAGTGCAGAAAAGATTGGACTTTGCAAAGAAATTATTACGTAAGGTTGTTCTTAAATATAAAATCGTTGTTTAGCTTTGTAGGAAAGTGATTATTAATCAATTACGTGTTCATAAGCATAAAATGCTATAGGATGTGTTTTAATTTAAACTTATGGATAAACTTGCTATTATGATTAATACAAAAAGGAATGTAAGTTCTAAGACTTATAGAAAGATTTTAAATGGAATTGTTCAGACCTAAATGAAATTAATTCTTATTTATTTTGTGAATAAACGATAGACAAACCTTGTAAATATAATTTAGACATGAAAAAATGTGATATTGCAAATGGAAATAATTACGATTGTATTCGTGGATTAAATAAGCTTGCATGTTTTAGTTTAACAGAAAAATCATAAAAATGCAAATTTCTAAAGTATTGCTATGGACCGAATGATAGATTATTGGAATGTAATTCTGATCTTGTCAGTGATTGTTGTCAATAGGCAAAAAATAAAGAGGTCTGCTTATTTTAAAAGAAATTTTAATGTTAATGGAATATGTAATGTTATGCTTATGAAAAAATTGAAGAGATTGAATGTAATAAAATTCATAATGCTTCAGTGAATGTTTGTTCCTCAATCAAAAATTAATTTTGTATATTCGATTCAGAAAATTTTGTTTGTAAATAAATTATTCCTTAAAGTTGTGATGAAGTTTAAACTTCCTATCATTGTAATTAAATAAATGATTTTCCTTGCGTATGGGATGAAATGTATGAAGCATGTATTTACAAAGAAAAGAACAGTTTAGATGGATGTAAAAAAATTTAAGAAAAATTTGGTAATTTGAAAGCATGTACAATGATTGAAGGATTAGGTTAAAAGTGTATATTTGAAAATAATTAATGTTAAACCTTTTATTAAAAAGAAGGTTTCAATAATTGTACTAGTAATATTAATATTTTTTCTTGTTTATAATAAACTGTTAGCTAATGTGAATGGGTTATAAAAACAATATAAGTGAAAAAGAGTTAATAAAATAATTACTTTGAAAATTAGGAAATTGGTGAATGCAAAGAATTCACATAATTTGATACAAGTAATTGTGATATTTTTCTGAGTTTTAAATCATGTCTATCAGTTAGAAAAATTGGAGCATTTTGTATTTGGAAAAATAATTAATGTAAAAGATTCTATATATCTGATTAAATAAGTAATTAGAATAAAACACCTTAATTAGCTTAAAATGTTAATCCAATTGTATGTGGATTGTATTATGATGAAAGATTAATTTCATACTCTTAAGAATCATATTCTTGCATTGAAGTATTGGATGTTAAACTTTTATCATGTGCTACATCAAAATTTGGTTTAAACTCTTTAGCTTGTTTAAATATTTAAAATGAATTATGTAAATGGGATAATATATAAAAAACTTGTGAATTAGTCAGAAAAGAAAATACAAACCTTAAAATAAGTTGTAATTTATCTGGTCTTAGTTCAAGAGCATGTACATTAATTGAAATAGATGAAAGTTGTGGATTTATTGGTAATGGTTGTGGTAAAGTTGATAGTAATGTTAATTGCAAACATTAAGGATTGAACAAATTTGGTTGCTTAAAAATTACAAATTATCCATGTGCTTGGATTAAGAATGAAGAAGATGAATATTATCATTGTGATGATTTTTAACCTTATGATTCTTGTAATGAAATTAAACTATAAGTCAATTCTATGGTATGCGCTTTGGTTTAAGTTGATGCTTGCATTTATAATTAAGAAACTTTTAGTTGTTAGATTCCTTAAAATACTTTATTTAATTGTGAAACAGAAGGTTTAAATTACATTGGATGTTCTCAAATTAAAGGATGTTATTATGAGAATAATAAGTGTTAGCCTATTTAATAATCCAGTTATAGTTGCCTCTAATTTCCTTTAGCTAATGAAGATATTTGTAAAAATGCTCAAGATTCATGTAAATATAGCCCATTAAATTATGGGTGTATTATTTCAAAATCAAATGAAATTTGTAAAGAACCAGGTTTGAGTCAATAAGGATGCATTTAATAAAAAAACGATTGCTATTGGAATAATAATAATTGTTAATGTTTAAGCTTTTTAAATGTTTTTCCAGATTGCAAAAATATTATCTCTTCCGAGAAATGCGAATAATTCATCTAATGTTAATATAATTATGAGATAACACATAATTTTAAGGCTAATTAATTAATTAAAAGTTAAAATTAAGGAAGATGTGAAAGGAAATTTTGTAAAGACTTTAAAGTACACTCTTGTAATAATAAATAATTATAAAATGATTTTTGTTATTTAGACTAGTAAAAGAAATGCTAGTAGGCAAATACTTGTAATGATATTCGAAATTCAGAAACAAATTGTTCAAATCTAATTGTAAATGGTATTCCTTGTGTTGAAAATCCTAATTAATCTACATGTAGAGCATTAATATGTTCAGAATTTGATGAAAAAATGTGCGATTAATTTAATGTCTATTGTATTTATAATGATACTTGTTAATCTAAATTATGTGAAGATTTATATAATTAATAAGCTTGTAGGTATAATAAATGTGAATGGGACAAATGGAATTAAAAATGTAAAAATAACTTACCTTGTGAAAAATATTTAACCAAATTTGAATGCCATTAAAACTCATATAATAATATTTAATGTACTTGGGTAAGTAATAGCGAAAAGAGTTTTTGCACTAGTAAAGGATGTAGATATTTAAAAAAAGGTTTGGAATGCGAAAATGCAATTATGATTAGAAATGTTTGTGTACGACTTCATAATCAATAATGTGTTTAATGTGAAGAAATTTAAGATATATGTTTATGTCTAAATTAAAATTTTTGTAGCTACAATCAAATTTAAATGAGATGCGAATCAATCAATTGTAATTAACAAAATTATAACTGTTAAGACTTTAAATTTTGTTAATTCAATGAAAATAAAAAAGTATTATTTAAATAATATTAAGACTTGCTATTTCAAGTGTGATAATCATAAAAACTAAATCGATTGCAATGGAGATTCTGTAAATTGTGAATGGGATGTAAAAAAATAAAGTTGCTTAGAATTAGTCATATAAACTTAACCTCCTCTTGATCCTCCTATCATAACAACTATTGCTTATCATATTTATTTGTGTTTCATAATTTGGTTGCATTTGTGATTTTATTTTAAATCATATTCAATGAATATAATTATAATTAAATTATATTTATAATAATCAAAAACATAATATATAAATGAGGCTTAATATTTTTAAAACCAATTCTTAATTATTTTTAATTTTGATTATTAAAGGTCTATTTAAACTCTTGGATACTTTAATTTAGAGACATATTTATTTATCATTATCCCAATAACAGCTAAAATCATAAATATTGCATTATTTACGACTGTAATTATTTTAACAAAATGGAATGCATATCTAAAAGATGATTTAATAAAATACTTGTTTGTCCAAATCAAATTAACATCTAGTAGAGGGACATGTTTCTTAATTCAAACTTTCACATTCAATAGATTTACAAATATTATGAAATCGATCATATTCACATGAATCTTGAAATAACAAACAAATACAAGGATCTATAATTTCTTAACAACTTACACAAGTTGAATCTGGTAAAGCAACACAAGCATCCTCCCCTATTTAAGCTCCATTACATAAAGAATATTTTATTTACAAATATCTACAACCAATATCTGTACAAAATTGATTCTCTTCATCCTCCCCTATTAAAACACATTATTTTCCATTTTATTTACTATTCATACAAACCTCTTTATCAAGAGAAGCACATTTTTTTGAATTGATACAACTTTTATTTTATTTTTACCATTCACATTTTTTTTCAACACATTTCCTTTCTGTTCTAAAATATTTGCAATCTAATGTTTTACATACAGACTCAAAAATACAATCATCTGTAAATTATAAACACATATTATAATCCAAGCTTTCACATTCTGGTGAAGCTACACAATTATTATTAACTTAGCTAATCAAACATTGTTTATTTTTTATAATGTACTTCTAACAATCTTTCAAAGGTGAAATAATTTCTTCACATTTACTAGCTTATTTACATTCTTTATTAGTATTTAAATAACATATTTAAGTATCAATTTATTGACCATCACATTAGTCTATATTATAATAATCACATGTCTTTCTTTTACATTTTGCTAAATTTGAATTTATTAACTACTAAGTAATATCAATAGCATATTAAGAATTAGATGCATCAATTATGCAGTAATTTAAACTTTAACATTTTTTTGAAACAGTAATTAAATCACATTCAGGATATTTATTTATCATAGATTTACACTAACATTAAGATTGATTCCATTAACATTCATTTAATTCATTACATCCAATCTAATTAATACCTTTTGCAGAACATATATCCTACAATTCTGATGATATGCAACCATATCCCAAAATATTGTATTTGCATCTATTTTTTTCTATTTATGAGCAAACCTTATAATTTGAAAATAAAGCATCTTCACAGCTTAAATTCATATTTTTATCATATTTAACACAATTTCCTTTTACAAAAACACAATTATCTATTAAAGAACATCCTATGCTATTTATTCCAATTAAGTTACATTAATTTTATTTTTACTAAAATAAAACACAATTTTTTTAATTTTAATTATAAAAACATGGTTCATGAGTAACTTATGTACATACAAAAGGGTTAACAAAATAATTATATCCTAAACATGCATCAAAATCTTAGATAAATTTGCATTCATAATTTTTTTGTATATCATCATAAATCCATCCACAAGGATGATTTTTAATTTTAAGACATGCATATTAATTTAATCCTGGATAATCACAAGATATTTAATTAAGATCAACCTAATCACAGGAACTTTCAAAAAATCCACAAGGAAGTGGTATATATAATTAAGAACACACTTAAACATTAACATCGAATAATTTGCAACTATCTTATGAATTAAATTTTTTTTAATTAAGAGGTTCATTTTATTTTAGACATCTTTTTATTGTATCATCCCATTTACATGGTTAACCTTAAACATAAAAACAAGCTTCTCGATTCATACCTGGTAAATCACATAAAATATTCTTTTATAATCTTGCATTCTAACATTTAAAATTTTTAGTATCACATATAGCATGAGAACCATCATTTATGATACCACATGTATTACAATTTACTTAAGAAAAAGATTTTAAAGTAAATATTTGATTATTTTTAACCTCTTTGCATTCATTATCTTCCCATTTACAAAAAATATTAGGTGTATTAATGTTTAAACAAGTTAAATAGCTAAGATTAGAATTACATTGAAAATCTGATTCTTAATTATACTCATGACAAATACCAAATTCAATTTTATCTTTTGATTTACTTTGACTAGTTTTTTTAATATCAACTTTATAAATATTCCAAAAACATTAATGGAATACTTACTTTAAGCAAGATTATTTATTTAATTATTTCGAACAACCAATTTCTTAAGTTTATACATATGCACCACATTTTTAATCATATTTACACATTTACCCTTATTTTTCAACATCCAAGCAAGCTCTTTAACTTCCCCATTAATTTTATATTTCTTAACATCCATCATTAAGATTTTTATCTTTAAATAAACATTATAATTCTACAAAATTCCAATAACATGGCAAATCTTACAATTTATTACATTACTCTTTTGTTTAAACTTAATCACATGTTTCTGGAGTAATTTCTATACATCCTAATTGATCTATATTGAAAACACAAACAGAGTCTTCTTTTTCATAACAAACTTATCTTGAGACATTAGTTAACATTTCACAAGATTACTTCTTTAAATTCTATTCTGAATATTTAGAACACTATTGATTTTGCCATTAACATTTAAACTAATCCTAAAATAAACAACTCTCTATAGTAGTTGCTTAAATGCAACAATTATTGGTGGAGTTAGGTTTACAATTTAGGATATCGTAATTAGGTCCATAACAATAATTATAGAATTAACATTATAAAGATTATTTTGTAAGATTCAAACAAGCCCTTTAATTTAATCCTCTAATACACTAAAATTCTATCTCTGCTTCTGCATTTTCGCATTTATATTATTAAGAGTTATATTTACAAGGAATATCAATAGTATTCTCACAAAATACAGGACTATTAATTGATGAAAATTCCAAACAATAATTTTCTTTTTCTTTTAGTGAAATTAATTCACATTTTTCTTCAATATATTGACAAAATTATTTTTCAGTTTTAATGTTTAAGCAACCTAATTTATTTGCTGCTTCATTACAATTTATTGTTGAGTATTCAGTTAAATTTATTGCCATACATTTTTTTTGATATATCTTGCATCCTTCTCTCTTCGGTTTATAACATTAATCTATAGAAAATTCATTACAATATTTAATATTTTCAGTTGCTTTTAATTAATAACATCCATTAGAAAATGTACATTCACGATTTAAATTACATGCTTTCTTACTAAATCCTAAAACTTCTGGATTATCATCAACACAATAAATTTGGTTACTCGAAATAACAGTTTCACATGAATTTGTATTTTTATTAAATTAGCAAGCATAATCTTGATTTACTTAACAAAACATTCCTGAATTGATTTTTGAGATATTTTAGCATTACAGTTTTTTAAAATTTTCAAGATTTGATAATTTGCATTGTTAATTAGTAAATTAACAATATTAAAAAGGAGTTTATATGGATATACAGCTTTGTTCATTCAATTTATCGTTGCACTTTAAAGTATTTAAATTTACTTCAAATATTTCAACACATTCACCTATCCATTAAGTTTTTAATTTTCCAGAAATAGTTATAGAATCAAATCTCGCAATACTATTTATTTAGCAAGCTTGAGAATTGAAAGATTGCAAGTTAAAAATAAAATAATCTTGATTTGTCAATTAAATTTCACCTTGAGGATTTTAATATTTTATACAAGTTTTAGAACTTATATTATAAAAGCAAGGTANAGGATATCGTAATTAGGTCCATAACAATAATTATAGAATTAACATTATAAAGATTATTTTGTAAGATTCAAACAAGCCCTTTAATTTAATCCTCTAATACACTAAAATTCTATCTCTGCTTCTGCATTTTCGCATTTATATTATTAAGAGTTATATTTACAAGGAATATCAATAGTATTCTCACAAAATACAGGACTATTAATTGATGAAAATTCCAAACAATAATTTTCTTTTTCTTTTAGTGAAATTAATTCACATTTTTCTTCAATATATTGACAAAATTATTTTTCAGTTTTAATGTTTAAGCAACCTAATTTATTTGCTGCTTCATTACAATTTATTGTTGAGTATTCAGTTAAATTTATTGCCATACATTTTTTTTGATATATCTTGCATCCTTCTCTCTTCGGTTTATAACATTAATCTATAGAAAATTCATTACAATATTTAATATTTTCAGTTGCTTTTAATTAATAACATCCATTAGAAAATGTACATTCACGATTTAAATTACATGCTTTCTTACTAAATCCTAAAACTTCTGGATTATCATCAACACAATAAATTTGGTTACTCGAAATAACAGTTTCACATGAATTTGTATTTTTATTAAATTAGCAAGCATAATCTTGATTTACTTAACAAAACATTCCTGAATTGATTTTTGAGATATTTTAGCATTACAGTTTTTTAAAATTTTCAAGATTTGATAATTTGCATTGTTAATTAGTAAATTAACAATATTAAAAAGGAGTTTATATGGATATACAGCTTTGTTCATTCAATTTATCGTTGCACTTTAAAGTATTTAAATTTACTTCAAATATTTCAACACATTCACCTATCCATTAAGTTTTTAATTTTCCAGAAATAGTTATAGAATCAAATCTCGCAATACTATTTATTTAGCAAGCTTGAGAATTGAAAGATTGCAAGTTAAAAATAAAATAATCTTGATTTGTCAATTAAATTTCACCTTGAGGATTTTAATATTTTATACAAGTTTTAGAACTTATATTATAAAAGCAAGGTACATCTATACTAATTGAACATGTAATAGGATTGGTTTTAAATGAGTGCTAACATTTAAGTAGTTCATTTTTAGAATTATCAATTTAATAGCACCCTTTATTTTAGTCAAATCTACAATATTGTCCTTTAGTTTTGATTGAATAACACTTATCTTCATTAATTAAATCTTCACAGACTGTTTCTTGAAAATCAAAGAAGCATTGATCTTATTAAAATTTGCAAAGATATCCTTTTGTTTAAAATAAACAGCCAATTTTATTCAAACCAGAAGTTGTACATTAAAAGTTATCTCCTTTATTCAAAATCTCACAAGTGTTTGAAGTAATGTTTAATTTACAACCTTTATCATTTCTAGTTGCACAAATAGAACTTTTCACAATTATTTATTAATCTTAAAGATATTAACAATTATCTTTTGATTCAATTGGTAAGCATTTATTTTAAATAAATTTACATTAGGAACTTAAACTAATGCAAGAGACCCAATTCAAATATTTATCACTAAAACAAGTATTTATTGTTTTCAATATTGATTACTCTGTTTTTAAACAAATGTTTTCATCAGAATCATATTCACATGCTAAAATAGTCTTTTATTAGCAAGCATACCGATTGATTCCTACCATTGAACAATTATCAATAAATGGATTTCTATTAGACACATCAATACATCTATTTTACACTTAACTATAAAGAAAACTTTATTAAATTTATTTATCTAAATAACTACATACACTATTGGAATAAGGAAAATTTTCAATCTAATTAATGATATCAGTAATTTTATTCACTTAATGAAAAGAACACGTATTATTTTCAAATTTACAAGTTTACTTTTAAGAGATACAAGCTTCTTTATTCAAAGAATCTATACATCCAATCTAATCATTTTAGATTTCTATACATTCTTTTTGTTCATCTAAATACTAACATTTTCCATATGATCTATTTATACAACCAAATTTATTTAATCCATTACTATCACATTTAATCATATCTGTAATAATTATTTTTCTGCATCGATAATAATTATCTTAAAAACAATTTAAATTTATATTAATTGATGAACAAACTTTTTTACTAAAATGAGTGATGTATGATTTTTAAGAATTTCCTATAGGAGAATCACATGATTAAGAATTATTATTAAAATCAGCCAATTAACATCCATATATATCTGACCAAACACATTATAAAATTGATTAATTTAAACATCCAAATTTATTTAAACCTTAACATCCTGTAATTTCTTGATCGTTTTTAATACAAATTTCATTATTTTAATCCCATAAACAAGATTCTTTTAATGAATACATACAAAGATCTTTATTTAAAAGTAAATCACAAGATCCCAACTTTGGATCAAACTTTATACATTATTTAATATTTAAATCAAACCAACAATCATATTAGAATTATATACAAGCATCTCTATTATAAATTGAACATTCTCTTTTATCAGATCCTGTTATTGTTTTTATCTCTTTACATTCATAATCTTCCCATTTACACATTATTTTTTATGTTTTTTATAAACATGCTTATTAATTTAAAAAATAGCAATTTGAAATATTTCCTAATCCTAAGTAGGTACATATATTATTAGAAATATCATATTAAGTACTAGCTCCTTAACAGCGAATGCAAGCTTTGACTGTTGTGTAATATCCCTTTAATTACTCACAATTATAATGTGTTGCATCTTCGCACTTTTTATTAATAAATTTGCATGCTTATTCTACCTAAACACAAACATTTAATTTATTTTCAATATTCAACTGATTAACTTCATGGCATAAATAATATTTGTTTGACATGTTTGTATTTAGTTAAGGAGGTAATGGTTTTTGCTAACAATATCCAATAAATTCAAAAAAACAATTACATTTTTCGCAAAGAGATTTACTAAAACTTTTATCACAAATATATTCATTTTCTATCATTTTGGGCATTGTACTAACACAATAATTATTTTCATAACGGCAATTATCATTAGCTAAAGCACATAAAGATGGGGAAACATCCCCTATCATCATTTGACATGATAGATCTTCAGGTATACTTTTACGAGGTTCACATTATTAAATTTCTCTTTACAAAGAAAAGCATGTCTCTTAATTAGGTATAATCTTTGTTTATCCAGCTTTACATAATACTCTTTAGTTAGAACTTGCTAAACAAGAATTTAAGAACTCTTTCAAGCAATGAGTACTATTCTTACATACTGGTTTCTCAGGATCACATGCCAAAGCTAAATTCGAAGGTTAACATCTACTCGATATTGCAGAACAGTCAGGTATTTTATTTTCATTTCCTTCTAATTACATGCATCCTCCTTGATTTAAATCAAACATGCATTCTTCTAATACCCCATACAAACATAATACTTTAGAGAAAGTATTTTTACATTTTAATTCAATATAACCAAATCCTTTACATTTTGGAGTAATTATGTAATTAGGTTTTTCAACACATTAAGCAGTCTTTGTTTCCCATCTTTTCTAAACATAATCAGGACAATCATTTTTATTATTATTATTACAATTATTTCTACCTTACGTACACTAATATTTTTCACAAATATTTTAAATTAAGATTTCAGAAGTAACATTATTAGAATCTTAAACTTACAAAGTCTTATATCCACACTCAAAATCTTCAAAACAAGATGTTTTCTAAGTATTATTACATTTTCCTTAACATTTTTAAATATTCATTTCAGCATTTTTAAGAATTTCTTCAGGTTTCTATTGGTTTTATTTATCACAAACGATATCACCTTTTTTCTAACATTTTTTTGTGCATAACTAACTTTATTTTGTACCGTTATTAATTGAACCATCATCATTAATTGAAATAGGTATTGTATAAATTATTGGACAATCTAAATTACTTAAGCATATTTTATCCTGGTAATCACATGTTTTATTTTAACCACAAATCAAAGGACTTGAACTTCCTGGTAGAAGAACATTATAAGTATTTGAAAAAATTTCTTAGGTTTTTACATATGAATTACATTAATTTGTACAATTATCAATTTCATATCTGTATTCAAAAACTGAACTTTTTTCTGTGTGTTCTTTATCAAAAATAAGATTATTTAATTTTTTAACTTAACATCCATAAATTTAATCATGCCATTCACAATAATTTTCATAATTACACTTCTATTTTTTCTCTTCTGATTAATAGCATTAATCATCTTAATAAGTTTAAGTTAAAGATTGATCAATAGATGAACAAGATAATTTATTATAATGGTTTCCAAATTTTAATTATACATTTAATGAAGAGCAAGTCTAAGATTTTGGAATTTCTGCTATTAAACATTATAATTTGGATTTAGAAAAGTAACATTACTTTGGAATCTTCATGCAAACCTCTATGCTGATACTTTTTGAAGTTGTACATAAAGATTAATCATCAGTAAATACCTAACATGGAGGCATTTAGTTTGTATCATAAACACAGTTTTATCCCCTAGTCAAATATAAACAAGCATAATCATTTATCATTTATTTACAACTATTTCGATTGATCGAATCTTAAATTAAAATGCATTTATTATTTTTTTCATCATATTTATACCCTGCTCCTGTAATGTTTAGACATGCTAATCCATTATAAAAGTTTTTTTAATCTAAAAATATGAAATCATTATGATGAGTATATGGGAATCTTACGCATTCATACATAGTTTCATCCCACATACAAGATTCTTTTTTAACTAATTTACATAAAACTTAATTTAAATTATCATCACACCCTAATTCATCTATTTCTAATATTGTTGCAATCTCATAACAAGTTGAGGTTTCGTTACTCCATCTACATTTTCCTTAAGTATTTTTGTAACAAGTATATTTATTTGCTCCTTTTACATCACAATTTGATGAAGTTTTTACTGATATTTAACAGCTATAATTAGACCATTCACACTATTATTAAGGAAGATCTATTTAAGCACATACCTTTTATGATACCAACCCTTATGAATCAAAATAACTACATGGAACATAAGTTACTGCAGAGATACATTTATCTAAATCAAATGAGAAAAAACATGCTTCATGAGGATTTTCAGAACATGCCTTTATATTTTAATTTTAATAACAAGTTGTCATATCTAAAAATTCATCCAAAGGTATTGTAACGCATTTCAATTATTATTTATCCCATTTACAATAATTATTACTAGTAAATCTCAAACATATATTAGAATTTCCTTGAACATCTTCACAACTAGCATAAAAAGGAGGAGATATTTAATATTATTAACTAATACATCGATGATTAATAGGATCATATTCAAAATATTTATCTATATTATAAACAGTTGTAGAAGCTTCAATTGCTAAACAAGCATATTTATTTAAAATTGAAGGTTCTTCTGTAAAGATTTTAAAATTAGATTGATTCTCAAAATTGACATTTTAGCATGCTATTCCATTAAAATAACACCATTATTAAGTTGACCATTCAATCAAATGACATGATTTCTTTCCCATCTATGAACAATTGAATTCATTAGCATTGAAGTATTACTTGACTGCTTCTTTATTTGTAACATCAACCAAATTTTATGTCAATTCCTTACATCTGTAATTATCAAAATAACAATAAACATCTGCTTTATTTGTTAAACGACTACATGTATGCCGATTTATTCCTATAAATCTATTTTCTGTGCAACAATTTGTGTCACAAATTTCACTTCCATCCAAAACTTAACATGAAGAAGTTCCAGTGTTATATTTACAATATCCAACTGATTATTTTTCATTATAAGGAATAAAATCTGGATTTTCCATGAACACTGATGCACAGACATTACTATTTACATTTTTGAAACTCGTGCATTTTTAGTTTAAAGTAACTATTACTTCACCACATTTATCTAATTTATCTTTCCATTAGCATAGTTAGCCTGGTTTAGTTATAAGCAAGCATATTATTTTAGTTGGTGAACTTTCTATACAATTTAAAGAATTTTAACCCTCATAGATTTTTTAATTATTATTTGAATTATTATTTTAATCTTAATCTTAGGGAGTAGTTTGCGAAGAATCTGAGGTCTTAAAAACTTGACATTAAAATTTGTTTGTATTAAAGTAACAAGCATTATCTAATTAACTACATGCAAATGAATTTAAACCAGGAGAATCACAACTAAATTTTGATTTAACAGAATTAATGCATCCTTTAGCAGATTCTTCAAATCTGCAAGGTTCTTGATTAAATTAAGTCATGGCACAACTAATTGAATTTGAAAATAACATTTCTTGACATGAAACATCTGAAATTTCTTTTGGATTATTAATTTTAACACATTCATTTTAATGCCATCTACAAGCGGTTTATGGTTTTATTACACTTGCACAAAGTATTCTATTTAAACCTAATGATTTATTTTCACAATCAATGGATACCAAAAATAATTTTTGATTTATTGATAAATCTACCTTTTTGCATTTATATAAAGATTTTTCATAATAACAACCAGATGAAAGATTTTCTATTACTTAAGCACATGAATTATAATTTGCATATCCTAGACTTTCACAAGTAGTTTTAAATGGAAATACTGTAATCAGTGTACAACCCTTAGTTGTCCATTAACAGGTTTATTTATGTGCAGTTATACTTAAACAGCCAAAAAAATTTAAATAAGGGGAATTACATTCATCCTCTATCAAGCTTGGTACACATTATTTTGAAGATAAATCATATTTGCAAGCAACCTCTTTAGATATATGTTAGCAAAAGAGACCATTATATTTAATAGAATTATCAATTTTTTCTTTACAATCCTGATCTTAATTCATAAAAGTTCTCTCACATTTCATTCCATCCCATTTACAATATTAAAATTAAGTTTTAATATTTGTACAAGAGTCTTCATTTAAAAACATATCGCATTTATATATATATAAATCTTCTTCTGATAAAGTTTCACAAAATCCCTTATAAAAAGTACAATAATTATTTTTTATCAGTAAACATGCCGCCTGACTCAAACCTAAGGTGGAGCAAGGCAGTTTATTTAATTATGATAGAGATACCTCTTCACAGCCTTAGGTTTAAATATTATATGAGCAGATGCCCTCAAAATTTTAACAAACAGAAGGATTTACATCTGCTAGTTAATTACATGAATAGTTGTTATTTTTGAATATTGTACATCTTTATTAAGTCCATTAACATTATAGATTATTCATTTTAGGTAATAAGCAAGCTTGCTTGTTCAAAAATTCACAAGAATCGAGACTGCCAATATCTATATATTGACATTGATTATTTTTAAAGATACCTAAAATACATAATACTTGATACAAGTTTCATTTTTAGTTGTAATTAAAATGCATCCATTTTTATTTATCCCTTTTTGAGAACATTTCATTTCTGAAAGTTGGCTGTCTATGATTGTAATACATTTATAATCCATAGTTATACCTCCATGAAAACCTACCATTTAAAAAAGCATTTACATTAAAATTTTTGAATCTTTGCACACATTCTAGGTGATACAGATTAAGAATAATATTCTTCACAACTCTAATAATGTTATTAAGGTTTTTAAGATTTATAATCTAAACATTAAGCTTACCAGACACAATCCATTTAATTAACATTTAAGCAGGAAAATTTAGAAAAATTAGTATTACATTCTAAAGTTTTCAGATGATAACTAGTTGCCTAAATACATTTCTCATGAAATAAACCTATTTCAATAAAAACATTTTTTACATCTTAATTCATTATTAAATGAATCTACCAATTGTGAAATACAAGAATTTCTGTTTAAATTATTCATACAGCCATAATCGGTGTTGTAGAATTCAATGCATTTATTTTCAACATAATTGTATTAACCTTGATTAAAGCCATAATTTACATTTGATGTCTGACGTCTTTTCAATACATGATTATGGGTCTAATGGATACAAACTGCAAATATTTCCAGCTTTGCAACAAATTTGAATTATTAGAATGATCCAAATCGATTATTACATTTATTTTATATTAATAGTATTGATTATTGATAAGTGGATCCTTTTTTTTATATAAATAAAGTAATAGACTATTTATCAATGTTGTTTTTGTATTTTTTTATTTTACAATAGTAGAAGAGTCGAAGCCAATAATTTTGGAAAATAACTATAGGGTCCACATATTTCTTTAGTCACTCTATATAATTTGTTAATTTTTCAATGTTTAAATTTGGTCAGGTAAACTCACTTTTAAATCAAAATTATTATTAAAAAAAAAGAAAATTTAATACTTTATTAATTGTTTCAAATATTTTTTTTCCCTAAAAATTAATCAATATATTTTTCGAGGTTAGTAATTTTCTCATTTTTGTTTCAGTTCCTTATTAGATAAATTATTAGTTAATTGTTTTTCTTTAATATAATTTTTGAAATTTTCATTTACAAATATTATTAACTAGATTTAAATAAGATATATTAATTAATATGATATATTTCTCACAATAAATTCTTTATAATCACTTTTTAAGGAAATTTTATAATTAATAATGAGTATAATAAAATCTAAATATAAGCAAGGAGGAGATTTATATTTACAAAAGATAAAATATTTCTGAAATCTTTTCAATAAGTAAAAATATTAATTTTTAAGTAAAAATAAAGTAGATATATCTGAAGAACAAAAATAGATAATATCTATATAAATTGGATTAATATAAGTGCAAAAAAACTAAGAGAATTTAAATTAATTTCATATATAGAAATGGTTGCAATAAAAATTATATTAATATTATCATTTATTAAAATGCGCAAAATAATCTTATTAACTCTTGCAATATCATGTTGCTATTGTTAATGTAACTTTTATCCACAGGATCCAGTCGCTTGTGTTTAGCTAACAAATTCTTATTGTAATTGATATAAATTGAATTATAGGCATTTACAATGAATTTTTAAATTGGTGTATGGAGACATAGAATCAGAATTTAGGTTGTTCTAAAAATCTAAATAGCAAAGCTTGTATTAATCAATTAAATTTTGGTGGAAACACTGAGAAGAAGTGTAGAATTTAATTTAATTATAGGTATATTTCAGGGGAGATGTTAAGAAGTAAACCAATATCACCTAGAAAACTTAGGTTGTGATAAAAATTATTCAAAATTTGCTTGCTTAAGTGTCCTCAACAGAGATTGCTTTTGGAATGGAGTTTGCGAAGATTCATCAATGATATCATATTCACATTACACTTAAGAGGAAATATATCAATTTCCTGTTACTCCATCATTATGTGCAAAATATGAACAATCCCCATGTAATTAATAAAAATAAAAAAGGCATGAATAATGGATCCGAAGGAGATTATAGATGCGTCACAATATATGAAATGTAATTTAAAGAATTAAAATGTTCTACTTTGGGGTTGAATGAAATAGGTTGCAGATCAATTTTGACAGAATAAGAAATGTGTAATGTTTTTCCTTTATATTTAGGTATATTTGATAATTATTAATGTAAATATATAAAACCTTATGAAATAATAAGTTGTTCCTTAAAATTAAACAAATTAGCTTGTTTATCTATTTCGAAACCTAATCTAATGTGTGAATGGTAAAAATAAGAATGTAGAACGTATGTTATTAATGAAAATAAATAATGCCAAGATATTTTTAATATAAATATCAATGTTTGTGCTAATTAAGACAGTCTTTGTATGTTTGATGATAATAATTTCAGATGTACAGAAGTAACTTTGAAGTAATTAGAAGATTTAGATTGCGATACACCTGGAATAACAAGACTTACATGCTTGTCTATTAAAAATAAATAATGCACTTTTTATAAAGGATTTTGTTAAACTTTATAAGATAAAGAGTTAAGTGAATATCATTGTTCAATGTAATTAAATTAAGCAGCTTGTATTAATATTACAACTATAGGCTAATTTTGTTTATGGGATGGTAAAGGATGTTAAAATGTTGAAATAAATCAAGATTTAGATTGTCATATGTTTGATAAATTTTAAGTAAATGGTAATGTTTGCTAAGCAATAATAAAACCAAATAAAATGTGTAAATATAATGAAATAACTAAAATTTGTATATAAAGTTCATCAAATGATTACTGTATAACACCATATTTAAATTTATTTGGATGTGTTGGTATCTTTAGAGAAGGTTAAACTTGTAAATGGATAGATTCAAGTTGTTAAGAGATTTTGATAATACCATTTGAAACAACTTGCAGCAGCTTAAAATATGCAAATTATTAAGCATGTTCCTAAGTCTTTGAAAGTACTTAGTTAGGTTGTTATTTTGATGAAATTGCATAGTAATGTGTAACTTTATAAATTAACAACAATAATAATTTAGAAGATAAAAAAAGAGTTGATAAATTCTTAAAATCAGTGACTTGTGCTAATCAATCTTTAGGATTAAATAAAACCATTTGTGGAGCTATAACTACAGAAGATACTTTTTGCAGATGGTAGTATAAAAGGTGCAATTTAGTAGATAAAGATGATATTGTAAACCTCCCTTGTATTGATTTAAGCTTCGCAAATTAAAACATTTGTGCTTTAGTAAAATACAATAATGAATTTTGCAGATACTTTGAAGAAGAAAAAGGATGTATCAATTAATTAGAAGGTGATATGTTTTGCGATGATCCTGGACTTAATTCAGTTAGTTGTAAATAGGCTAAGGAAAATTGCTACTTCGAAGATAATAAATGTAAAAGTCTAGGAGATATTACATAGTAAATAACTCCTGCTGAATCTATCATTTTATAGAAATTACAGTGCTTATCTAACTCTCCTACAAAACTTGTTTGTTTAGAAATCTTAACCAAAAATTAATTATGTTAATGGTCAAATAAAAATCAAATATGTTCTGAAATAGTAGTACTTCCAAATAAGAATTGTGCTGATTTTTCTTCTTTTTAAGTTAATGCTAATGTTTGTGCTTCAATCATAATGGATAAACCAAATAATATCATAGAAGGTAAGGAATAATCTTTTGAAGAGTAAAATCCTGGTTATTGTGAATATGATAGATATTATAAAATTTGTAAGGTAAAAAAGTCTGTATGTAATGACAAATGTTGTACATCAAATGAAGAATTAGGAATAAATGCATATTCATGTAGTAGATTTTCCAGTTAAGAACCAGGAGTATATTGTTATTTTAAAGATCTAAGATGTTAAGAGCTTACAAATTTAGATGTAGATATATCTAATCCTGAAAGTGTTAAGATTTACTATAATATAAATCAATTCATATGTTCTCAAATGAATAAGAACTCTTGTCATATGATAGAATGGTCAACTACTTAAACTTGTTATTATAATGGATTTGCTTGTGTAAATTTGAACATGAAAGATTAAACAGACTTTATAGAATTTACTAAACCATCATCAATTTTAAATCAATATGCTTGTTTGGCTATTGAAGCAAACAATAGTATTAACTATGTACTCAAATATTTTGAGTATGATTCAGAATATAAAAATTGTAGGCTTCTTTAACAACCATATCCAAAATACACAAGTTGTGAAAGTGTAAAAGGAAATTCTAATATTTGTTTAGGTCTTACATAGGATTTATATTGTAAATGGGATAGATTTAATTTAAAATGTGTTACAATAACTAAAGATTAATAGTAAGAATTAATAAACTGCAATTCGTATCAAAACAAACGATCTTGTATAGAAAATCCATATTCAGCTTGTTAATTTTCTCTTGCTTTAGATAAATGTATTGATGCACCTTTGGATCAAGAATGCTCCTATTACAATACAACAGGTTAAATTAGTCAGAAAACATGCTCTTTAATTACTAAACAAGGTTAAATATGTGAATTTCAGAATAACTATTGTGTAAGTTCTAATAAGATTGTTGATGGATGTAATCTAGTTGGAATAAATAAAAGAGGTTGTTATAAAAATACTAAAGGGTTATGTAGATGGGATGATGTGTCTGGCTCATGTTATGAGAATAGAACAGCTTTAGAAGAATTAGAATGCACAAGTAATCTTAATTAAATTTTATGTATGAAAGTGACTAAATAACCTTGTATGTGGAATGATAGTCAATTATAATGTGTTTATTTTAATTAGATGACTAATGATCAATATTAAGAATAAAATTCTAATAATTAATATAACGAATGGGCTTGCACTCTAATCATTGGTGCAGGTTATACTTTTGATGCTTAAAATCATAAATGTAAATTTTTAGAAGATACATAAAATTATGGATGTTAAGATATTTAAATGAATAATTATGCTTGTTAATTTTTAACAAAAGGTAATAAGTGTTATTTTGATAATAATGAAATTCCTCCAAAAAAGAAATGTAAGATATTTGATATGGATTAAAGTATTTGTACCACTAATATTGCTATAAATATTGATGTTTGTATGGATATACCGAAATCATGTAAATTCTCTGTAAAAACTTTATCTTGTTTAACATTAAAAGTGAAAGAGGAGGATTCTTGTTTAGATCTATAAAAACTCTAATAAAAAGATGAATATGTTAATAAACAAGGATGTTCTTCCATATCTGATTCAATAGAGCTTACTGATGGGGAATATTAATGCTATTAAAATAAGGAGTTTCATTAATAATGCAATTATTAGAAATTTTGTTATTGGAGTGATTACACCTGTAAAATAAGCCTACAATAAATTCATATATTTGATAAAAATAATACTATCAAAAATTAAACATAAAACTGGGTTTTTACAACAAATAATTGTTCTGATAGTTCTTAATGCAGATAATATGTAGTAACCTAAGAATATTAGTTAGGTAGCAAAACTTATCCTGGTACTCGTTAAAATTAAACATGTGGAAAAGGTCGGTGCGATTATAATAATGAATCTTGTTATTAAAATTCTGATTGCTAATAGATTGCTATAGAAAATCTTGAAATTAATGATGATGGCTCAATTAAACCACCAAAAATGTAGGATTAAATTTGTTAATCATATTGTTAAATATCAGAAGATATTTATAAGTGTGATGATTCTTAAAATCCTCCTCAAGAAGTCTTAGTCCCAGAATAAACTCAAGATTAAAAGTGTAGGGGAAGATGCAGTAAATCAAAAAAAATTTGTGAAAGTCAGAATGATTGTGGATATTATGTTAAATTTCCAGCAGTAAAAGAATAAAGATTTAATACAGAGAAAAATATCACAGAGGAAGTTATTGTATCTCCTGAAATTTTAGAATAAGAGACTTGTGATTTAAATACTTTTACATGTTCAGATAATGGCTATCCATGCTCTAAACAAAGTGATTGTAAGAGTTTTGTAATAAAATCTTGGTAAATAAAAAATGCTGTTTGCTAAAAATAAATTTTATATAAAATATCTGAAATCTGTAAAGGATTCTATTTTCTTCAGTTAAAATGCTTGAATACCTTTTCAAAAGCACTTTGTCTTCAAATGACAAATTAAAATTGTTTCTTTGATTTAAATTAAGGTGGTTGCAATTAACTTGATGGCAATGAACATAAAGTAACTAGTTGTGATAGCATTTTAAATACATAAAAACCAACTATTTAATGCGAAAGCTTTACAAATATTTGCAGATTTAGTAGTTTACCTTAAAATGAGTATCGAAAAACATGTCAATAAGTATCATCAAAATTAATGCTTTGTAAAGATGGAAATAAATAAAATGTTGCTAAAGATTCTTGCCCTTCAAATACAAGGTCATTTATAAATTGTTTAAAAGTAGATAATCACTTAGATTCTTAAAAATGCGCAGAAATTTCTTATCAATCAATTTTTAATTGTGCTGCAGCAGTAGATAATTGCAGATTCTCAAATGGTAGTTGTATATCTACCTTATAGAATAATATATGTAATTGTGAAAAAAGTTACAGTAAATCTTTATGTCTTGAGTGCAAATGTAACTTTGATTTAGGTTACTGTTAAAAAGAAATGTAACCTCCTCCACAAAATGAATTTAATAAATATTATTTGTGTTATGAAGTAAATATATTACCAACAGATAAAGAGAATAAAAAAAGAGCTTGTGGAATGGTTAAATAAGCTTGTAGATTTTAAATTAAATGTGAGGATGCAACTCACTATACTTGTGATTATCTTTTAAATTTTGTTGTTTCTGAAAAAGCTTGCGTTAGATGTAAGGGACTGGGAGTTTATTATGATAACAATTAATAATTTTGCAAGATTGTGAATGAAGATAGATTAACGTGCGATTTATTAAACTAATAAGCATGTATATAAAAAACATAAGATATAATGTGTAAATGGGAAGATTATGAATGTAAAAAGATAGAAAAAATAACAGGTTCTGATAGTAGAGAATGTTCAATTTATAATAGAGATGCTTGTATATAATTCTAATAAGATTGTTGGTTTGATTTGAATATTAAAAAATGTATAAAGTTTGNATGAGTCATATTAAAATATTTGTTAAAATCATAGATGCACTGAAAGCAATTAAAAGTGTAGTAATTCTGATCAATGTCCTGATTATGTTTAGAGAAGTTGGATTTTTTCATCTTCTTAATGTAGTGAAAAAGTTACATACAAAGTAATGCCAATATGTAAGGGATTTTTCTTTTTAGAATTAAGATGTAAAAATACCTTCTCGAAAGAGGTTTGTTTGAATGGAGTACTAGAAGAATGTTAATTTGATTTAAATTAAGGTGGATGCTTTTAATTAAAAGGAAATGAAAATAAAATTATTAGTTGTTCATCAATTTTAAGCAGATGTTAACCTTCTCAAAAAGCTTTAGAATGTGATCCTGCAAAGCCAATATGTAAAAATAGCATAGAATGTTTGAGTAGCTTTGAAAATTCTTGTTTAAAAAGTTCAAATTCAAAAGTAGTTTGTAAAGCTGGAGAGACGTTGATTGTCCCAAATGAAAAATCATGTTTATCTTTGTAGAGATAAATTTAAATTTGTGAATAAATTATTCCACCTCAAGATCTTTTATGTTCAATGATTACTAACAATGTATCGCCTGCTTATTGTTCATTAGCCATTGATTTTTGTCGTTTTGAATCAAATAGTTGTGTAAGTACAATACCAAAGAATTCAAATAATGAATGTATTTGTGATGCCAGTTTCAGTAAATCTCTTTGCGAAAAATGTAATTGCTTTTTTGATTTTGTTGGATATTGTTAACAACAGCCAATACCTCCCAAACCAAACCCAGATGGATCAAACAAATATTATTTATGCTATGAAGTTAATCAATTAAATGTTGAGAATAAATTAAATGTTTGTGTTTAGGTAGAATAAGCATGTAAATTTATTAATAAAAAGTGCGAAGATGCAACTCATTATAATTGTGATTAATTAAAAGGGTATTTTACAACACTCAGAGCCTGTACTCGCTGCTAAGGTGCTAATACTTACTATGATAATTCTAATCATGTTTGTACCTATTTAGGATTAGGAAACATTTAAAATTGCTATTAATTAAACTAATAAGCATGTATATAAAAAACATAAGATATAATGTGTAAATGGGAAGATTATGAATGTAAAAAGATAGAAAAAATAACAGGTTCTGATAGTAGAGAATGTTCAATTTATAATAGAGATGCTTGTATATAATTCTAATAAGATTGTTGGTTTGATTTGAATATTAAAAAATGTATAAAGTTTGATCCAAAGTTGGGATCTTGTGATTTACTTTTAAATAAAGATCTTTGTATGTATTCATTAAAAGAATCTTGTTTATGGGATTAAAATAATGAAATTTGTAATAAAAACGATCAAGAAATTACAGGATGTTAAGATTTAAATAAATTTGGATGTTTAAATTAATCAATTTTATTATGTGTTTGGTCAGATACATATGGATGTTAATTGGCTGATTTTAATAATAATTCTTAATCATGTGATTCTCCTATAGGAAATTCTTAAAAATCATACATTACTCATTTTAGTAAAAAAGTTTGTTCATCAATTAATATAAATTTAAATTGTTTTTAAGATAATTATTATCGATGCAGATAAACAATTATTACAGATATAATTAAATGTGATAGTAATGGATTAAATAAATTTGGTTGTATAAATAGATCATAGGGAAAATGTTAATATTTAGATGAACAAAAAGAATGTATAGAAATCTAAAATGATTAGATTGGATGTATAGATTCTTTGAATAAAGAAGCTTGTATCTCTTAAAAGTAAACTTGTAAGTTTGAGAATAATAAATGTTCTTTTCATTAAGTGAATAAAATTGCTGATATCATTAATTAGAATTAAAATTTCCCTTATTCCAATAGTGTATGTAGTTATTTAGATAAATAAATTTAATAAAGTTTTATTTATAGTTAAGTACAAAATAGATGTATTGATGTGTCTAATAGAAATCCATTTATTGATAATTGTTCAATGGTAGGAATCAATCAGTATGCTTGCTTATAAAAAACAACTTAGGCTTGTGAATATAATTATGAGATGAAGAATTGTTCATCAACGCCTTTACAAACATTAAAAGCTATTAATACTTGTTTAAGTAATTAATATTTGAATTGGGTCTCTTGCATTACTTTAAGTTCCTAATGTAAATTTATTTAAAATAAATGCTTACCAATTGAATCAAAAGATAATTGTTAATATCTTTAAGATTAATAAATAATTGTGAAAAGTTCTATTTGTGCAACTAGAAATGATAAAGGTTGTAAATTAAACATTAATTCAAACACTTGTGAGATTTTGAATTAAGCTGATAATTTTCAGTGTTCAGTTATGGGTTTAAATAGAATTGGCTGTTTATTCTAAACAAAAGGTTATCTTTGTAGATATTAAAATAATCAATGCCTATTTGATTTTGAATAAGCTCTTTGTGAAGATCCTATTAATGAAGATAAATGTTATTTAATCAAAACCAAAGGATAATACTGCAGATTTGATAAAACTAAAGGTTGTTATTAAATTGATAATTCACAAGGAGAGCTCTTTAAATGTAATCATTCATTTAAAACTAATCCTACTACATGTTCAAGAAGTACAGATATTCCTTGTTTTTATGACAAAAATTCAAATACTTGCATTCCATATCTTCAAAATGGAGAATAGTAATAATCAATCAATTTGAATTGGGATAACAAAATTTCATTTAATATTTTAACTTGTTAAAGATATGAAATCGGTTAGAAGATGGTTTATTGGAATAGCTTAGATGAATAAATTTAATAAAGCAATAATGAATGCATTGAAGTTTAAGAGATTAAGCTAACTACATTAAAGTGTAATGNATATGGATGTTAATTGGCTGATTTTAATAATAATTCTTAATCATGTGATTCTCCTATAGGAAATTCTTAAAAATCATACATTACTCATTTTAGTAAAAAAGTTTGTTCATCAATTAATATAAATTTAAATTGTTTTTAAGATAATTATTATCGATGCAGATAAACAATTATTACAGATATAATTAAATGTGATAGTAATGGATTAAATAAATTTGGTTGTATAAATAGATCATAGGGAAAATGTTAATATTTAGATGAACAAAAAGAATGTATAGAAATCTAAAATGATTAGATTGGATGTATAGATTCTTTGAATAAAGAAGCTTGTATCTCTTAAAAGTAAACTTGTAAGTTTGAGAATAATAAATGTTCTTTTCATTAAGTGAATAAAATTGCTGATATCATTAATTAGAATTAAAATTTCCCTTATTCCAATAGTGTATGTAGTTATTTAGATAAATAAATTTAATAAAGTTTTATTTATAGTTAAGTACAAAATAGATGTATTGATGTGTCTAATAGAAATCCATTTATTGATAATTGTTCAATGGTAGGAATCAATCAGTATGCTTGCTTATAAAAAACAACTTAGGCTTGTGAATATAATTATGAGATGAAGAATTGTTCATCAACGCCTTTACAAACATTAAAAGCTATTAATACTTGTTTAAGTAATTAATATTTGAATTGGGTCTCTTGCATTACTTTAAGTTCCTAATGTAAATTTATCTAAAATAAATGCTTACCAATTGAATCAAAAGATAATTGTTAATATCTTTAAGATTAATAAATAATTGTGAAAAGTTCTATTTGTGCAACTAGAAATGATAAAGGTTGTAAATTAAACATTAATTCAAACACTTGTGAGATTTTGAATTAAGCTGATAATTTTCAGTGTTCAGTTATGGGTTTAAATAGAATTGGCTGTTTATTCTAAACAAAAGGTTATCTTTGTAGATATTAAAATAATCAATGCCTATTTGATTTTGAATAAGCTCTTTGTGAAGATCCTATTAATGAAGATAAATGTTATTTAATCAAAACCAAAGGATAATACTGCAGATTTGATAAAACTAAAGGTTGTTATTAAATTGATAATTCACAAGGAGAGCTCTTTAAATGTAATCATTCATTTAAAACTAATCCTACTACATGTTCAAGAAGTACAGATATTCCTTGTTTTTATGACAAAAATTCAAATACTTGCATTCCATATCTTCAAAATGGAGAATAGTAATAATCAATCAATTTGAATTGGGATAACAAAATTTCATTTAATATTTTAACTTGTTAAAGATATGAAATCGGTTAGAAGATGGTTTATTGGAATAGCTTAGATGAATAAATTTAATAAAGCAATAATGAATGCATTGAAGTTTAAGAGATTAAGCTAACTACATTAAAGTGTAATGATTTTTTAAATGAAATTGCTTGTATGAATATTTAAACACCCTTTTAATTTTGCACGTACCAAAACTTTACTTGTTAATCTATAGATTTAGATATTACTGACTTAATTCGTAATTGTTCTTATTATTAAAAAGTCAATAGTGGTGCTTTTTGTGAAATAACTACTGATATCCCTTGTGAATATAGTTCAATAAATAAAAAATGTTAATTAGTTACCAATTTATAAGAAATTTCTTGTGATTACAATTAACCTTACAAAAAAGGGTACAACTATTTAGCTTGTAAAGAAAATCCAAATTGCACATTTTATTTTGGGTCCTGTTATAAAAATATTTATTAATCAGTTGCGTTATGTGAGGATGTATAACCAGATTAAATTTAGCTTTGCAAAAAAATTAATACATAGGGTTGCTTTATAAAGTAATAAAACCTATGTTCAGCATTGTAACCAGAGGATTATTTAACAATAAAATGTGAAGAAGCAATTAATGCAGCAGGTTGTAAATTAGTTTCAACTCCTGGATAAACTTGCTACTATGATGAATAGTAGGAGGAATGTAAATTCAAAGACTTAAAAAATGATTTTAATTTCAAATGTTCAGATTTGGATAAAATTAATTCTTATAAATTTTGTGAGTAAACAAAAGATTAATCGTGTAAATATAATGTAAATATGAATAAATGCTAGATTGCAACTGGTAATAATTATGACTGCAGTCGGGGATTGAACATTCTCGCATGCTACAATTTAACTAATAAATTAAAATAATGCAAATTTCTTAATTATTGTTATGGACCTAATGATTAAATATTATAATGTAATTCTAATTCATCCTATGATTGTTGTCTTGAAGCATAAAAGAAGGATGTTTGTTTATTTTAAAAAAAGTTTTTATGTTAATGGTAATAAGGCTGCCAGGCATATCAATAAAAAGAACAAATAGAGTGTAATAAAATTAAAGATGCTTCAATTAACGTTTGCACCTCTATTTAGGGTTATTTTTGTATATTTGATTCAGATACTTTTACTTGTAAATAAATATTTCCTTAAAGCTGTGATTAAATGTAGACTTCTGATTAGTGCAAAAGAGTACTTGATTTTCCTTGTGTCTGGGATGAACTCTATGAAATTTGTATCTATAAAGATAAGAATAATCTTGATTAATGTAAAGATATAAGAAATAAAGTTGGTAATATACTGGCTTGTACAATGGTTGAAGGATTAGATTAAAAGTGTATATTTGAAAATAATTAATGTTAAACCTTTTATTAAAAAGAAGGTTTCAACAATTGTACTAGTAATATTAATATTTTTTCTTGTTTATAATAAACTGTTAGCTAATGTGAATGGGTTATAAAAACAATATAAGTGAAAAAGAGTTAATAAAATAATTACTTTGAAAATTAGGAAATTGGTGAATGCAAAGTATTCACATAATTTGATACAAGTAATTGTAACATTTTTTTGAGTTACAAATCATGTCTCTCGATTAGAAAGAATAGAGAATTCTGTGTTTGGTAGAATAATTAATGTTAATAATTCTCAATGTCTTATAAAATAAGTAATTAGAATAAAACAATTCAATTAGCATAAAATGTTAATCCAATCGTTTGTGGATTATATAATGACGAAAGATTAATTTCTTACTCTGAAGAATTATATTCTTGTATCGAAGTAAAAGATGTTAGCTTCTTATCATGTGCTACTTTAAAATTTGGTTTAAATTCTGTGGCTTGTTTAAATATTTAAAATCAATTATGTAAATGGAATGATATCTAAAAAACTTGTGAATTGGTCAGATAAGAAAATACAAACCTTAAAATATCTTGTAATTTATCTGGTCTTAGTTCAAAAGCTTGTACATTAATTGAAGTAGACGAAAGTTGTGGATTTATTGGTAATGGTTGTGGTAAAGTTGATAGTAATGTTAATTGCAAACATTAAGGATTGAACAAATTTGGTTGCTTAAAAATTACAAATTATCCATGTGCTTGGATTAAGAACGAAGAAGATGAATATTATCATTGTGATGATTTTTAACCTTATGATTCTTGTAATGAAATTAAACTATAGGTCAACTCTATGGTATGTGCTTTGGTTTAAGTTGATGCTTGCATTTATAATTAGGAAACTCTTAGTTGTAAGACTCCATAAATATTATTATCTGATTGTGAAATTGAAGGTTTAAATTACATTGGATGTTCTCAAATTAAAGGATGTTATTTTGAGAATAATAAATGTTAGCCTATTTAATAATCCAGTTATAGTTGTCTCTAATTTCCTTTAGCTAATGAAGATATTTGTAAAAATGCTTATGATTAATGTAAATATAGTCCATTAAATTATGGGTGCATTCCTTCATAATCAGATGAAATATGTAAAACTTAGGGTTTGAGTGAAACAGGATGTATTCATTCAAAAAGTAATTGCTTCTGGACTAATAATAATTGTTAATGTAACAGCATTTAAAATGTTCTTCCAGATTGTTCATTAATTATTGAATCAGATAAATGCAAATAACATAAATAATGTATATATACTTTTTAAAAAAATAATAATGATGAAATTAATTCATAAATTAAAACCTAAAACTTGGGAATTTGTAGAAGAAAAGTTTGTTCAGATATATCATAAGAAGAATGCTAAAATTACTAAATATTGAATGATTTTTGTTATTTAAGTACTGAAAATACATGTTTGTAGGCAAATAAATGTGAGGATGTTAAGAATTCATAAAAATAGTGCTCAGATTATAAAATTAATGGTATACCCTGCATTGACAACTTTGATAAAACTACTTGCAGACGCTTAATATGTTCAGAATTAGATTTTACTAAATGTAAAAGTAATTAATTTTTGAATTATTGCAATTATCTAGATCGTTGTTAGACTAGATTATGTAAAGAATTCGATAAAGAAGAGGTTTGTAAATATTATAATTGTTAATGGAATAAAATGAATCAAAAATGTAATAATAATTTATCATGTGATAATTACAAAAATGAATATGATTGTAAATAAAATTTAAACAATAATACATAATGCTCTTGGATAACAAATAATTAAGATGGCTTTTGCAGTGAAAAAGGTTGTAGATATTTATCTATTAATTAACAATGTAGAGATAATTTTATTTCTAAAAATATATGTGTCCAACTTTATGATGATTCATGTGTTTAATGTGAGGAAATAAAGGATTTTTGTTTGTGTGCTGAGTAAAAGTATTGCAAATTCAATTAAATTTTTGGTTAATGTGAATCAATAAATTGCAAAGAATAGAATAATGAAAATGATTGTTAAATGTTTTAATTTTGCTCATATAATAAAGATTAAAATGTAAATTTTTATATTTTTATTTAGGTGTGCCATTAAAATTGTAATTATCATCAAAATAATTCTGATTGTATTGCAGAATCTGGATACTGTATTTGGAATGAAAAGCTGAAAATTTGTTAGAATATATAAAAACAAGTAGTTACTACATCATCGAATCCTTCTGGACCAATTATGGCTTTTCGTATTTTTGGGATTATTGTTTGGATACTAATTTGACAAGATATATAAAATAATATTTCTTTATTTATTTTATATTATATAGCTCTAAGATATTTTTTATTTTTCATTATTATCGTTTAAGAAAATTTTTGGGTATTAAAATATATTTGATTATAACTGAAAAATCTAGAGCTTAAATTAAAAAATAGCTCTTTAAAACTCTTTTAATAAATCATTATTTTCTATAAATTTTAATTTCATAATTCAAAAATTAAAAAGAGCAGTGCCAATCTCATAACCTATTGATTAACTTCAAAAATTTGAGGATTGATTTCTGGTTTTTTTAGAATTTCGAATGCCTTGATTGATTAGATACATATTTATTTATCATTATCCCAATAACAGCTAAAACCATAAATATTGCATTATTTACGACTGTAATTATTTTAACAAAATGGAATGCATATCTAAAAGATGATTTAATAAAATACTTGTTTGTCCAAATCAAATTAACATCTAGTAGAGGGACATGTTTCTTAATTCAAACTTTCACATGTAATAGATTTACAAATATTATGAAATCGATCATATTCACATGAATCTTGAAATAACAAACAAATACAAGGATCTATAATTTCTTAACAACTTACACAGCTTGTATCTGGTAAAGCTACACAAGCATCCTCCCCTATTTAAGCTCCATTACATAAAGAATATTTTATTTACAAATATCTACAACCAATATCTGTACAAAATTGATTCTCTTCATCCTCCCCTATTAAAATACATTATTTTCCATTTTATTTAGTATTCATACAAACCTCTTTATCAAGAGAAGCACATAATTTTGAATTGATGCAACTTTTATTCTAATTTTACCATTCACATTATTTTTCAACACATTTCCTTTCTGTTCTAAAATATTTGCAATCTAGTGTTTTACAAACAGATTCATAAATACAATCATCTGTAAATTATAAACACGTATTATAATCCAATTTTTCACATTCTGGTGAAGCTACACAATTATTATTAACTTAGCTAATCAAACATTGTTTATTCTTTATAATGTACTTCTAACAATCTTTCAAAGGTGAAATAATTTCTTCACATTTACTAGCTTATTTACATTCTTTATTAGTATTTAAATAACATATTTAAGTATCAATTTATTGACCATCACATTAGTCTATATTATAATAATCACATGTCTTTCTTTTACATTTTGCTAAATTTGAATTTATTAACTACTAAGTAATATCAATAGCATATTAAGAACTAGTTGCCTCAATATAGCAGTAATTCAAATTTCGACATTTTCTTGAATCAGTAATTGAATCACATTCAGGATATTTATTTATCATAGATTTACACTAACATGAAGATTGATTCCATTAACATTCATTTAATTCATTACATCCAATCTAATTAATACCTTTTGCAGAACATATATCTTACAATTCTGATGATATGCAACCATATCCCAAAATATTGTGTTTGCATCTGTTTTTTTCTATTTATGAACAAACCTTATAATTTGAAAATAAAGCATCTTCACAGCTTAAGTTCATATTTTTATCATATTTAACACAATTTCCTTTTACAAAAACACAATTTTCTATTAAAGAACATCCTATGTTATTTATACCAATTAAGTTACATTAATTTTCTGTTTGCTAAAGTAAAACACAATTTTTTAAATTTTAATTATAAAAACATGGTTCATCAATAGCTTATGTACATACAAAAGGGTTAACAAAATAATTATATCCTAAACATGCATCAAAATCTTAAATAAATTTGCATTCATAATTTTTTTGTATATCATCATAAACCCATCCACAAGGATGATTTTTAATATTAAGACATGCATATTAATTTAATCCTGGATAATCACAAGATATTTAATTTATATCAACCTAATCACAGGAACTTCCGAAAAATCCACAAGGAAATGGTATATGTAATAAAGAACACACTTAAATATTAACATCGAATAATTTGCAACTATCTTATGAATTAATTTTTTTTTAATTAAGAGGTTCATTTTATTTTAGACATCTTTTTATTGTATCATCCCATTTACATGGTTAACCTTTAACATGAAAGCAAGCTTCTCGATTCATACCTGGTAAATCGCATAAAATATTCTTTTATAATCTTGCATTCTAACATTTAAAATTCTTAGTATCACATATAGCATGAGAACCATCATTTATGATACCACATGTATTACAATTTACTTAAGAAAAAGATTTTAAAGTAAATATTTAATTATTTTTAACCTCTTTGCATTCATTATCTTCCCATTTACAAAAAATATTAGGTGTATTAATGTTTAAACAAGTTAAATAGCTAAGATTAGAATTACATTGAAAATCAGATACTTAATTATACTCATGACAAATACCAAATTCAATTTTATCTTTTGATAAACTTTGACTAGTTTTTTTAATATCAACTTGATAAATATTCCAAAAACATTAATGGAATACTTACTTTAAGCAAGATTATTTATTTAATTATTTCGAACAACCAATTTCTTAATATTAGATATATACCCCACATTTTTAATCATATTTACACATTTAACCTTATTTTTCAACATCCAAGCAAGCTCTTTAACTTCCCCATTAATTTTATATTTCTTAACATCCATCATTAAGATTTTTATCTTTAAATAAACATTTTAATTCTATAAAATCCCAATAACATGGCAAATCTTACAATTTATTACATTACTCTTTTGTTTAAACTTAATCACATGTTTCTGGAATAATTTCTGTACATCCTAATTTATCTATGTTGAAAACACAAACAGAGTCTTCTTATTCATAACAAACTTATCTTGAGACATTAGTTAACATTTCACAAGATTACTTCTTTAAATTCTATTCTGAATAGTTGGAACACTGCTGATTTTGCCATTAACATTTAAACTAATCCTAAAATAAGCAACACTCTATAGTAGTTGCTAAAATGCAACAATTATTGGTGGAGTTAGGTTTACAATTCAGGATATCGTAATTAGGTCCATAACAATAATTATAGAATTAACATTATAAAGATTATTTTGTAAGAGTCAAACAAGCCCTTTAATTTAATCCTCTAATACACTAAAATTCTATTTCTCCTTCTGCATTTTCGCATTTATATTATTAAGAGTTATATTTGCAAGGAATATCAATAGTATTCTCACAAAATACAGGACTATTAATTGAAGAGAAATTTAAACAGTAATTTTCTTTTTCTTTTAATGAAATTAATTCACATTTTTCTTCAATATATTGACAAAATTAGTTTTCAGTTTTAATGTTTAAGCAACCTAATTTATTGGCTGCTTCATTACAATTTATTGTTGAGTATTCAGTTAAATTTATTGCCATACATTAATTTTGATATATCTTGCATCCTTCTCTCTTCGGTTTATAACATTAATCTATAGAAAATTCATTACAATATTTAATATTTTCAGTTGCTTTTAATTAATAACATCCATTAGAAAATGTACATTCTGAAGGATTTAAATCACATGCCTATTTATTATATCCCACTTATTCTGGATTTACATCAACACATTTTATTTGAGTATTGCTAGTAATAATCTCGCATTACCCAATTTAACTATTAAATTGACATGGTTACATTTCATTTATTTAGCAAAATTTCCCTGAATTTACTTTCTAAATATTTTTACAATCTAATCTTTTAAAATTTTCAAGATTCTATTATTTACATTTATTGTCGACAAATTAGCATAATTAAAAAGGTGTTGTAATTTTAAGGCAGGTAGATTAATTTAAAATATCGTTGCATTTTAAAGTGGTTACTTCATTCTAAAGCACTTCCATGCATTCATTTATCCATTTTGTATTTAATTATCCGAAACTTACCATTGAGTCTTTTTTATTATCTGTTCCTTCATTTTCATACTTAAGAATATTAGTTATTTAGCAAGCAAGAATATTAAATGATTAAAGATTCCATATCAAGTAATCTTAAGTTATAATAGAGTTCTCAGATGGGTTAACATATTCTTAGCATTTATTCAAATTAATATTATAAAAACAAGGAATATCTGTACTTCTTGAACATGTAGTAGGATTAGTTTTAAATGAATGATTACATTTAAAGAGCTCTCCTTGTGAATTATCAATTTAATAACAACCTTTAGTTTTATCAAATCTGCAGTATTATCCTTTGGTTTTGATTAAATAACATTTATCTTCATTAATAGGATCTTCACAAAGAGCTTATTCAAAATCAAATAGGCATTGATTATTTTAATATCTACAAAGATAACCTTTTGTTTAGAATAAACAGCCAATTCTATTTAAACCCATAACTGAACACTGAAAATTATCAGCTTAATTCAAAATCTCACAAGTGTTTGAATTAATGTTTAATTTACAACCTTTATCATTTCTAGTTGCACAAATAGAACTTTTCACAATTATTTATTAATCTTAAAGATATTAACAATTATCTTTTGATTCAATTGGTAAGCATTTATTTTAGATAAATTTACATTAGGAACTTAAAGTAATGCAAGAGACCCAATTCAAATATTAATTACTTAAACAAGTATTAATAGCTTTTAATGTTTGTAAAGGCGTTGATGAACAATTCTTCATCTCATAATTATATTCACAAGCCTAAGTTGTTTTTTATAAGCAAGCATACTGATTGATTCCTACCATTGAACAATTATCAATAAATGGATTTCTATTAGACACATCAATACATCTATTTTGTACTTAACTATAAATAAAACTTTATTAAATTTATTTATCTAAATAACTACATACACTATTGGAATAAGGGAAATTTTAATTCTAATTAATGATATCAGCAATTTTATTCACTTAATGAAAAGAACATTTATTATTCTCAAACTTACAAGTTTACTTTTAAGAGATACAAGCTTCTTTATTCAAAGAATCTATACATCCAATCTAATCATTTTAGATTTCTATACATTCTTTTTGTTCATCTAAATATTAACATTTTCCCTATGATCTATTTATACAACCAAATTTATTTAATCCATTACTATC